AGATCAATGTCAGATGAGTTCAGGTTTCAGATAATCATCAGATAGTTAGACGTTTATACCCAAACTGAACTTCTAAACTTGTAAGTAATAATTAAGGATGAATAAACCTCTAATGTTGAAGTCAGAAAACTGTGTATTTCATTTATGGAAAAAGTAAAAATAACTTCTGTTTTTTTAATTAAGATTCATTGAGGTGTAAATGATTTTTGAAGTGATGCAAGCTGATTTAGGGTTATGGTGAATGTGAATAATAACTAATTACAGGACATATTTCTTAGTATGGTGCACTTGAAGGTAGTAAGAGTTGTAAGCAAAATGCTGAATAGCGCAGAAAAAAACTTTCTTGAAGAACTAATAGGTTAAATTTGTGGTATTTTTGATGGCCACAGTTCTTTCTATTCTTTGCCTTCTTTTCCTATGCTAGAAAAGGAGCTAAGGTTCTGACAGACGTAGGCCAATTAGTTCACATTCAGATGAGACACTGTAATGGCTTATAGACCTAGAACTCCATCTGTAGAATGTTGCTGTGCATGTACAAGAGAGACCTGTTGAGACTGCAGACCCAGTGCCATCTGTAACGTATATCTTTATAGCTAAACAGAGCTTTCATTAGAAGTAATTTAAAAGGTATATTTAACATAATTCTAGGGCATGAGTATTAATTTTTTCTATATCAAAAAATCCTGAGAATTTGTTCTCAGTCTACCAATACTTCACACAGTTTTGGAAGTACTTTACTATTTTTAGTAAATGCCCTTTACTATTTTTATCTACTGAGGTGAACTCCTACATCATTTAGAGAGGTCTTTCTTGCTATATCATAACTTATTTTTACAAGAAAATGAGACAAAATTATCATGGTCAAGAATGCAGCTTTCCCACTATAGCTATCTGTGGAGGTAACATAATCCTAGACACATCGAGAGGATGGATGTTACAGAACCTATTGAGTGTTTTCATTAATATTCCTGCATGAATTTCCTAATAGAAATACTTAACCATTGTCCTAATGTGACCAGCCCAGGGAGCAACCATGTTTGAAATATTTTTTAAGGAACTTCTGTACAGCTGAGTCTGTTGCTACTAGAATGATCTCCCCAAGAGTTCCTTAAGTTAATGTTTTCTTTAATAATTTAAGCTTGTACATGTTAGAAATTAAAACAGTTCTTTGAGTAAGTGTATTTTTAAGTCAAATTTTGATATTTAATTGAAGCACATATTGCCAATGCTCACGATGTATATGCTTTCTTACCTTGTGGTCCAAGATCTGTCCATTTTTTTGGACTCAACATTTTGAAAGAGAGGGTATTCAGGAGGTATGCGCAGCCTTATTTATTTTATTTTTTTTTACTTTTACCTTGATGGGTTATTTCAAATGTAAGAATAATTCAAAAGAGCTTTAAAAGTATTCATTAAATCCTGTTTCTTGTGTTATGACCTTTGTGTATCTCAGGTCTAAGTAATATCTACTTTGAATAAATTTCAGAATATTCAAATTTCTGCAACTAAAATATTGCTTTCCAAAGGCTTGGGGCTCACTATACTTTTCTCTACTGCTAAATCTTATCCTTTCCTTTGTGAGGTTGCATCAGTCTTCCTTTCTGTCATCCTCTTTGGAAAAAGATAACAGTAGATTAAAACAAAAAACAGTCATGCCAAAAAACACTTTTCAGTTTTGTGTGTGTGTGCACGCACACAGTTTCCCCAAAAATATAAAAGCTACATTTAACATAAAATAACTTAAACTATGTTTACTGAGAAATGATGACCTTAAGAGATACCAAAACCATATATTCAGAGTAATTTTCGCACCATTATCATAGGCATCATGGCAAAGGAAAGTTCTGAGGAGGTAACGGAAGGTGGACAATGAGAGAACCTGGCACATATTTTGGGGAAGCCTCTTCCAAACATGAAGGGCAACATGGGAGGGAAGCATATTTGTTTGAAGTCTTAATGGGTGGGTGACGGAGGCTGGCATTATGGGCTGATTGGAGGCAAGCAGTAGCAGCTATTGGATAGTGAATGAGAAATGATAGCTAGGGCAAGGATAGACTTAGAAGGGTTTTGAAAAGTGAAGAAACCCCTTGTGTTTGGTGTGATAGAGAAAAGGAAGCCAGGAGAGGGATGCAAACAAAGAAGTGGCATGGTCAAATCAATGAGCTAGGAAAATGGTCTTTGCTGCACCATTTTGAATAGATAAGAGTGGTGCAATATTACATTTGTTTAGGGACAGAAAGAAGATATTGCAGTAATAAAGATGTAAAATGATGAGAGCCTGGGCAAGGGTTTTAGCCTTGTGGTTGGTTAAGGAAAACTACATGTTCAAGATCATGTAAAAAGAATCTGCATCTTTTATATGTAGCCTGGATGTGAGAACTCAGTGTTCAGAGTCAATGATGATACTCAAGGTATGGGTCCAAGTGACAGGTGAAATGCTGGTATTGTCTTCAGTATTAGAGAAAAAAGGTAGTGAAGAAGGTTTGTGGAGGAAGATTAGGAGAGCTACATTAGCTGTGCTGAACTTGAGCTGATATCTAGAGTAGAGAGGCAGATCTGTGAATCTTACATAGAAATGGTAGCTGAATTTTAGTTTGTGGATGAGATTATGCAATGATAATACAGAGAGAAAGAGACCAAGGACAAAGCCCTGTAGAGTCCCAACAGAAAACTGGAAGGGCCATAAGGAGGATTCTCTGAAGGATGAAGAAATGTTTAGAGAAGTAGGAGGAGAATCATGGGAGGACAAAAATTTCAAAAGGAGCAGGGCATGGTCAGCGTCACCAAAGATAGTCGATAGTGAACTATCAGGTGAACTATATCTTAGCTGTGGCTAGAGAGGGAGAGATTTGGGAGAGTGGTTTCATTGGAGTGCCAAGGGGAAGAAGCTGGGTTGGAGAGGGTCTAGAATGTAATTTAAGAGAGAGAACTCCAGGAACACAGGTTTAGTTTCCTTAAGACATCACTCTGTAAAAGCTTAGTGTTAAATTATTGAATTCCATTAAGTAGTAATTTACCATTGATATTATAGAATAATAAAATATCATAAATGTTGCTGTATGGATCTTTTTATTGTAGGTCTCTCAAGAGATAATGCTGCAGTTTTGTAATTGATATAATATGCTTTAAAAGCCATTTGTTTTGAATTTTTTAAAAGAGAGCAAACAAGTTTACACTTTTTAAAGCACTTTACTGATAACTAATTCATGCTCTGAAGTCTTATAAATTTGTCAGATATTAACACTGTTTTTATTATAAGAGTCATATTAGGGAGAATATGATAATATACTTTCCTAATGTATGGAAATAAGAATAAAAATTAATGCTTGAATGAACTTATGGTTTTTTCTTTTATTATAGCCTTTAAATGTAAAATGATTTCAAGAGTACAGAAAAATGTGACCTGTTTGGTTTTTCCCCAGCAAAAATGGCTCTTCACCGAAAGGGAATAATTCCTTCAACAAGAAAACATATTTCAAGAAACAAAACCCTTAATTTTTAAATTCAACTTCAAGATTACACATGCTGTAAAAGCAGGAGTAATTTAAGAGCAAATTTATATAGTGAATGCTCTTAATTTACCTTTTCAGGGTAATAATATTCTGTTTTGCAAGACAAGTTGAAAGCTTTCCAAGGAAAACTTCACATTTGTTAAATTATAATTGAAAATTAAGTAATAGATGTGTTCACTTATTTCAGAATACCTCAATAGCATTGGGAACATGTTTAACACCGTCAAATACAGCACAAAAATGTTCATGTTACTTCACCAAACTGGAATTTGACTAGATTTGAGGCCCAAATTCAGAACATTAGCACAAACTCAGAAAATCAGCATTCTCTGGGGAGCAAAGAGAAGGATGAGCTCATTTCATTGTAGTGTAATAGATTTCTATAGAGGAGCTTCCTTTCCAGTCAATAGAAACTTTCTGATTGGAAATTAAATGTGAGCACTCTGTGTTATCAGAAACAGCGTTTAGCATTTTGCACTGTGGCAGCAATTAAGACCAAACAACTTCTTTTTAAAAATGATTTCAGACTTTTCCTCTCCAAAATTGTCCAAGAATTGAAAGATTGTGCAAAGCCACTCTAGGACAACATCTATTTAATTATGTACAATGCTGGGATATATTTTGAATCACTTCTCTTTATTCAAGTAAAATTAGGTCTCAAATTGAAGAACACATTTTAATGAAGTGGTCAAGCCACCATATTTATCTGAAAACTGGAAAAAAAAAATCTAGAGTGAACACTATGAAAACCTACATGAATAGTGCCTGGTTCAAATCCAGCTCTTCCAGGAAGCAATAGTTACCAGAATCGATCCTGTTTGTTACCTGTATTTCTCACCAGCGCTTGAGTCCACTATCTGGGGTGATAAAAAAAAAAGCATAGATTGTGATCTCTGTAAAATATTCGTCAACTGTATGAGTTCTGTGCTTCAAAATAAAATGCTTAGAAGTGGGAGAGCCAGATTTGAGAAGGCGTCTTCCATCAGACTAAATGAAGTATTAAGGAATGTCAGAAGTATTATTGCTGCACAGGTAATTGAACCAGTGTAGCCCTTATCCTGTGACTTATCTGCAAATGCAATTTGATTTATTAGTAATCATTCAACAAACACTTTGGGCTACTACCTATAAACATATATAGCATTTGTGAACTATTTACCATCACAATTTGTTGTTCATAATGTGGGATTCATCATTTAAGCTACATGTTGTTGCCATTTCTTCTCTGTAAAATGGATTGACATTTCATAAACAGAGATCAGTGTGAATATTGAATGCCTATATTTGTGCACAACATCATTTTATTCACATGTGGATAGGGGTGCTGACATGAATTGTTCCCCAACATAATGCATATTCAACCCCCTTCATTCAAGTGTTTATGGGAAAAGAAACAATGAAATTTAAAGAGTTCAGTTTCTTCTCTGTCTGAGTTCGTAGAGTCTGGGTTGCCTCTAATTCAGTAATTCATCCAATTTTGTTTTCTAGAATGACAAATCCCCAGGGCGCTCTACAAGTCGATCAAGTAACATTTCAAAGGTAAGTGGAATATGTTAACTTATTTACTTTTGTATAGAATTCTATGTCACATCAATTTATTAAAGGTAATGCACTTCCCAGATATCCATAGTCTGACATTTTATTTGCACTTTACCAGTTTGTAATTTTAGACTGCCTGGTGTTTTCATTGCTATGTAAAACACATGTTAAAATATAAAACTTTTTTTTCCATTACTCAGTAAAATATCTTTGAGAAATAAGCTGCCATCTTCCGTCTAAGGCAGAATTATTTCTTGCTCAATTCTAAAATGATAGCACTGTGGATTGCAATATGTTGCAGTTACAATTGTATCTGAGTTTGCTATATGAATCCCAGCTACAGGTATTTACCACTCACCAGAAATGGGCCAAAATTAGAATCTGAGATCTCTTTCAGTTTTGGAAAGGCAGACTTCAGTACATTGGTTTTAGACACTCTTACGGTTTTAGCTTAAATGTGGCTGAAATTTCTTGTCCAAAATGGCAGAAAAAGAGCTAAAACTCATGAGAGCAATTCCAAAGGCCTTGGCACCCTGGAAGATAAATCCAAATAGTAACCGTTACCTAACTTCCAGTCCCTTCCTATACCTGATCCAGATCCAGATCTGAATACTGTCTGTAGTCCTTCTTGAACAAACATGTATAGCATGTTGGCCCCTGCCATAAAAGGTTTTATTCCATAGCAAAAATTAATTTTAAAACACTCATGCTAGTTATTTTGTAAGTTATATGACAACAGTTCAAAGAAATACAGGCAGTCCCCGGATTACGTACAAGATAGGGACTGTAGGTTTGTTCTTAAGTGGAATCTGTATGTAAGTCGGAACTGGCATCCAGATTCAGCCGCTGTTGAAACTGATCAGTTTCAGCAGCGGCTGACTTGGGGATGCCTAGGGCAGAGCAGCTGGGGTGCTACTGGGTTGGTCCGGGTTGGTCCAATAGCGCCAAGGAGCGGTGCTGCGGGACCAACCGGCAGCGCCCCACCTGCTCTACCACAGGCCCCGGGCTTTGCTACGCGTCTCCCTGGTCTGCTGGCTCCCCCAGCAGACCAGGGAGACGGGGAGCAGCTTTTCTCGCCCCGGAGGACTGGAGCGGTGGGACGCCTGGTCCCGCCGCCCGCCTCCTCCGGGGCGAGAAAAGCTGCTCCCCGTCTCCCTGGTCTGCTGGCTCCCCCAGCAGACCAGGGAGACGGGGAGCAGCTTTTCTCGCCCCGGAGGACTGGAGCGGTGGGACGCCTGGTCCCGCCGCCCGCCTCCTCCGGGGCGAGAAAAGCTGCTCCCCGTCTCCCTGGTCTGCTGGCTCCCCCAGCAGACCAGGGAGACGGGGAGCAGCTTTTCTCGCCCCGGAGGACTGGAGCGGTGGGACGCCTGGTCCCGCCGCCCGCCTCCTCCGGGGCGAGAAAAGCTGCTCCCCGTCTCCCTGGTCTGCTGGCTCCCCCAGCAGACCAGGGAGACGGGGAGCAGCTTTTCTCGCCCCGGAGGACTGGAGCGGTGGGACGCCTGGTCCCGCCGCCCGCCTCCTCCGGGGCGAGAAAGTCCCCGTTCGTAACTGCGGATCAGACATAAGTCGGATCCACGTAACTCGGGGACTGCCTGTAAGAGTTTAAAAGTTTTTCTGCTCTTGTATAACAAAACTATGGCTTTGCTAAAACCACAGTAGTGTATTGTATGATCTAGTCTCTTGTTTCTTCCAGGATTTTTTAAATGACTCTTATCACAAATTCATTTTAGTGAGTTTAATTATAGATTTATATGAAAGCAGAAAGTAATATGTTATATTCCATTGTATAATTATCAATATCTGTTCTTAGCCAGTGGGAGCACGAACAGTGAATTGGGTAAACATCATACAATATCAAAATTAGTGGAGTAGAAAAATGCATATTTACAGACTGTGTGTCCTATGGGAAGGAGTTAGAATTGTATATAAAATATTGGATCTATATTTGATATAATTTATCTGATGTAAAGCTGATGGAGTTCAAATGATGTAATCAGATTTCTTCTTGATTTACATTGCTATAACTGAAATCAAAATCAGTAAAATCAGGTAACAACACTAACTTTGTAACAAAGAGAGCTGATAAGCCTTGGCTAGACATGGGCTTGTGTAAGGTGTATTTGCAAAATCATACATTATTAAGCAGTATGGCAGGCATTATTCCTTTTATTTGCATTATTAAATACAAATAAAAAGAGATCCACTAATTACAATATTGATCTCCCATGGTTCAGCAAATTCTCTGATTTGGTTATCAGGTCCTGAGTGTGCTGAACTAGAGAGATTCAACGTGCATTATTAAAAACAAAACTTTGTATTTCTAGAGACTTTCCATCTGAGGATCTCAAAGCATTTTACAAGCATTTAATTAAGCCTCACAGGACCCTGATACAGTTCATCACTGGTCCTTTTACTTTAGCCAATGGTGGGAGATAAAGGTATGACAGACTAAAGGCTTAAAGTCTGAAGCTCAGTTTTGAATTTACGGGCTTTTCTTGGTGGGTCTCTCACAACATTAAAGTTATTAAGCCATTGGGTTGTCATATGTAATTGTTTGTGTTATATGAGACTTTTAAAAACATAACAGAAAGGTGCCATGGAAGCAGATTAGAAGAGAGACAAAACTGCCTTTTGAGCCAATACCTACATATGTTGTTTGGACAGTGTGAGGGAGTCTTAATACTTTAAGGGAATTGGTGCAAGGAAATAAGTAAATAAAACATAAAAACCATGCTTACGCTTATCAGCATTACCAATGCTTCCACTGCTTACTAGACTCTTAGAAGACATTTGGAGGTAAATAAGAGCTAAATAACAGCACAGAATACTGAGAGCAGGACTGGCAGCTATAAACAAACTTTATGCACGAAACCTGGCCACACCCATGGTAAGTGGTCACCTGGCTAACTAAAATCATGCCAGACCACAGATGTTGCTAGACCAGAGTGCTGGACTAGGGAGGTTCAACTTGTAATAGTAAAGACCTATCTCTGGTACCTCTCATGACAGGAGACTGTCGATAACAGACACCCTTGGTTCTGGCAGGGAAATTACAGATATGTATGTGTTGGTCCTAACTCTGAATCCCTCACTTGTTAATTTTTGTCAGATTCTTAATATATGTGAATATAGTGATATGTGTGTGAAATTTAATGGTGTCATAATGGATGGACCCAAATTGAAACTTCAGACATAAGGAGCTTTGGGAAATTTTGGATTTAAATGTCTTATGTCACTCTCCTACTACTACTGCTGAACTAAACTCAAAATCTTAAAACCCCCAGACTTTAGGAGGATTCAGAGATCGTAGTTCGGTGCCTTCGTAATTTTGAGCCTGGTTGAACATAAGAACCACCATACTGAGTCAGACCAATGGTCCTTCCAGCTCAGTATCCTGTCTCTCGACAGTGGCCAATACCAGATGCCCCAGAGGGAGAGGACACAACAGGCAATCCTCACATGATCTCTGCCCTGTCTCCCACCTCCGGAGAAACAGAGGCTAGGGACACCATTCCTGCCCATCCTGGCTGTAATAATGGTTTGTTATAATAATGGTAAATCTATGAAGATTCACAAAACATCCTTGTCTGTTTTTCTGACAGTGTCAAAATACACAAAATTACTTTTAAATTATGACAAAGACCCAGTATCAGTGGTTTATAAATACTCAGTGAGGGACTGTAGAAATATATACACTCATCCTTAACATATGTTGTATCAGCTACTAACATTTCTCTTCAAGTGACCTCTCTTTTTCTGGATGATGTCCTTTTAAAAATTGTGCGCACAGCTTACAAATTGACTGTTACAATGGAAAATTATCTGGACTTGCCCTTTCATAGACTGTCTCCTGTTCATCTGTAGCATGATGTCACTCCATTTGACAAGGTACCTTATATATTCCTGTTATAGGGACTTTCATATACTGGAGTATACTTGACAGAGGATACAGTGTTTCCAAATGAATGTTTTGCTACTGAAAATGTTTTAAAAAGAAAATACATAGTTTTTAGTAGGGCTGTTAAGTGATTAAAATTAATTAATTATGATTAATTGCACTGTTAATAATAGAATACCATTTATTTAAATATTTCAGATATTTTCTACATTTTCAAATACATTGATTTCTGTTACAACACAGAGTTTACAATGCTTACTTTATTTTTGTATTACAAATATTTGCACTGTAAAAAACAAAAGAAATGGTATTTTCTGAATGCCTAATACAAGTACTGTAGAGCAATCTCTTTTTCATGAAAGTGCAACTTACAAATGTAGAATTATGTACAAAAACCCCTGCATTCAAAAATAAAACAATGTAAACTTTATAGCCTATAGATCCAATCAGTCCTACTTCTTGTTCAGTCTCTCAGATGAACAAGCATGTTTACATTTGCAGGAGATACTGCAGCCTGTTTCTTCTTTACAACATCACCTGAACATGAGAACAGGTGTTTGCATGGCATTGGTGTTGCTGGCAATGCAGTGCAAAATATTTACATGCCAGATGCGCTAAAGATTCGTATGTCCCTTGATGCTTCAACCACCATTCCAGAGGACGTGTTCATGCTCATGATGGGTTCTCCTCGATGATGATCCAAAGCAGTGCAGACTGATGCTTATTCATTTTCATCATCTGAGTAAGATGCCACTAGCAGAAGGTTGATTTTCTCTTCTGGTTGTCAAGTCCTGTAGTTTCCACACTGAACGTTGCTCTGTTAAGACTTCTGGAAGCATGCTCCACACCTCATCCCTCTCTGATTTTGGAAGGCACTTCAGATTCGTAAATGTTAGTTTGAGTGTTGTATCTGTCTTTAGAAACCGTATATTGGTAGCTTCTTTGAGTTTTGTCAAATCTGCAGTGAAAGTGTTCTTAAAACAACATGTGCTGGAATATCCTCTCATCGTAGGCTGCTATAACATGAGATATAGGGTAGAATGTAGGTAAAACAGAACAGGAGACAAACAATTCTCACCCAAGGAGTTCAATCACAAATTTA